ATTTATTTATTGTCTTTTTTTTTATTCTATCTGTAATTATTATATTATTTTTATTATCTTTATTAACTATTCTATACGGTCCGTTATATCTATTGCCTAACTTATGTCCAGCTGGATTACTAATATATACTAAATCTCCTATATCTATCTGTATTTTATTAGAAGTCCTATCGTAAATTATCTTATTTCTATTCTTATGCCTATCTATTAAGATGCGTGCTCTTTTAAGTGCAATCTGTAATTTATACTTGACTTCTTTATCATAGACATCTATATTGTAGTCAGGGTCTACCTGGCCTTCTTTTAGAAATTCATAGATGATTGGCACCTTACCGAATATTAATTCGTAAGGGCAGTAATCATGTACTGTTGAGGGTGTGGTATTGTAACAGTACGTGTAATACCTAAGCCACTTGTCCCAATCATCTCGTTCGCTCGAAATGTAATTTCTCACATATTCGTTGAACGTTCTGTGATTTCGCTCCACAGTTCTCGCGTTTAGTGGTGATACTCTGTAGAAGTTGTTGATTTTATATTCAAGAGCTTTAATAGTTGTCTGAATAGTTGGTTATTATATTCAGTATCCATATCAGTAATTACTGTTTTCATGAGTATGCAATTTTCGAATATTGCCCTTGCAACTACCATCGCATTTTTGCTTGTAGCCGGAATTGCGATTAAATACTTTGTTAAATCACATATCACTGTAACAGCGTATTCGTTGCCGTACTCAGTTCGCGGTAAAGGAACAATGGTATCTATCACCACTTTGTCAAACGTATTTTGTGGAGTTGAAGTCAATATCATAGATTGTTTGATATGTCTTGAGATTTTATTTAATTTACATTTATGACAGCTTTTAACATATTTTCGAATGTCTGCTGTCATATTTTTCCAATAAAAGTATCTACCTATTTTGGTGTTCATGCGTTGGATTCCTGGATGACCTCCAAAAATTGGATCGTCATGAAACTTTTCGAGTATTTTAAGTTTCTCGTTGTCGTCTATTATTTTTTTTAAACATGGTAGAAGAGCAATTTCTATTTGCTTTCTTTTGTTTGCTATGTCTCTTAAATTGTTTATTTTTATTAAACGCAATCAAGATTATCATCTAGTGATGCAGGTGAGTGCATCCGCTTCATAGTTATCTTTTCCCCGTAGGTACTCAACAGTGAAATCGTACTCCTCTAAATCTAATCTCATTCTTGTGAATTTAGATGATGGATTTTTCATAGTAAGGAGGTACGATAATGGACGATGGTCGCTTCTAACTAAGAATTTTGTACCATATAATGGGCGGAAGTATGTTATCGCCCAATGGATAGCGGCTAGTTCCTGTTTAATTGTAGATTTGTTGCTTTCACCTTTGGTGAAAGATCTTGAAGCGTATGCAATAGGGAGTTGTATCCCATTGTACTCTTGAGAAAGTACTGCTCCACATGCGAATTTACTCGCATCTGTGGTTATACAAAATTGTTTTTGAAAATTGGGATATTGCAGTATTCTGGGACTTACCAATGCATTTTTGAGGTAAATAAATGCATCGTCACATTCTTTATTCCATTCGAACTTCACATTTTTCTTGCAGAGTCTCGTTAAAACGCGTGATTGTTCTGCAAAGTTAGGAACGAATCGTCTGTAATAGTTGCAGAATGCAACGAATCGTTTAATAGCATCTGCATTTGTTGGTGTCGGATAATCTAAGATAGTTTGAAATTTACTATCATCCGACAAAATGTCTTTGTCTGTACCGAAAAATGTACAGAAATGCTTGTTGTTCGTGAGTTAAACCTGAAAATGCTATTGTCATCATTCGTTGGAATGAATTTGGAGCAATTTTTAACCCATATGGTAGACGTTTAAAACGGAATGATCCTTTATCTGTAGGAAATGACGTAATATCCCGTGAATTTTCATCTAGTTCAATTTGATGGAAACCAGATGTCAAATCGAGGCAAGAGAAATATTTTGCTCTGCCTAATTGGTCAAGAATATCATCTATTCTTGGCAAAGGAAATTTATCTGCAATTAGTTTTTTATTAATCCCCCTATAATCTACAACTAATCTCCATCTCTTGTCAGATTGTCCATTTAATGACTTCTTTGGTACTAACAGTACAGGACTGTTATACTCAGAAGTTGATGGTTCTATAATATTATGTTTAATTAATTTATTTACTTGCCTGGTTATTTCATCTTTATGGGTATATGGTAGTCTGTAATTTTTTTGATATGTTGGCTCTTTTGTTTAAAGCGCAACTTTTGTTTGTAAAAGTTATTAACTGATATAGATTCTGATTCAAGTGCAAATATATCTACATATTTTTTGCACAAGTTTTCTAATTTTGTTTATACAAAAGCGGGGAAATTTTTCGATAATTTTTCCAACTTTATTTTATCATTGGTTATTGGTGGTTTTGATATTACACTGTAATCGTTAAGATCTTCTGTAATAATTTTAAGATTTGGTATGAAGGCGTGTTGATTGGTAGTGTTAATTATACGTACGTTTACTTGTTGTTATTGTATTTGCTACAAAACTACCATTTTGTATTTCTTGATTGGGTATAAATATTTCTTCGTAGAAGGAATCTGTAACAATGGTTCTAGAAACTTCAGATCTCGCCGGAAGTGAAATTGAGTTTATTCTGAGGTTATTTACCATTGGTATGGCCAGATGTTGAGGGAAATTATATGGTCTCAATATTAAAATGTCTTGATCTTGTTGATATTCAAGGATACAATTGTATTTTTTAAGAAAATCGAGCCCAAGTATTGCATTCGAGAGAATGGGAAAATCATCATCGACAACATGAAAACTATGTTGTATTAGCATGTTTTCAATTTTGAGATCTGTTTCAACTTTTTCTAAAGTATATTTTATACCATCTCCTATGCCGTTAAAGCTTATTATAGCATTCGAATTAATGCTAACTTTTTCTATTTCTTTCTTTTTAATTACAGAAATATCCGCACCCGTATCAATTAAAAATGCTGATACTTTATTATTTAGTGTGGATCTAGCTAAAATGAAATTGGCAAGATTTAAATTAATATTATATATTTTTCTGTTGATGTTTTTAATTATTGAGCACCTGGGGTGCTGTATAATACGAACATTTCTTCTGTTGTTCTGGTAGTTATTCCTATTATTAGGATTATATCCGCTATTACTATTGTAGCTGTTCCTTTTCTGCCCGCGTGTTCGAAATTGTACGCGTCCATTTGGTTGTCCACGTCTATAGGATTGTCCGCGTCTACTTCCGAAATGTAGTATTGCGGATGTTTGACTATTTGATTCCGTGCAGGAGTTTACGAATTTTTCTACCACCTCACTCATGTTGTTGAAAGTTCCCGATTCTATTACTAGTCGAACTCTTCGTTGCTAGTATTTTTTATTATCGCCTTAACAGCTGCCTTAGTTGAATAAGATTCAGCTAGCGTCGGTGTAAGTCCATCCGAAATATATGCACACTGTAGCTTTTTTGTAAGCTCTTCGACTTCCTTGGCATATGTATTCACCGGTTTGGAATTTTGACGAATATTCATCAACTTTGCAGTGATGACATCAACGGATTCGCCTTTAACTCTCTTCTTTAGAGATTCTATTACTTGTGGTATCGTCGTTTCTGATCCTGTGATCAGATTTATTGCTGCTCCTTTTAGTTTTGTCCACCGACTGTCCATGGCTCCTGGATAAGCGCTATGGCCAGTCCTTTTGTGGCGAAGGTCCTGCACAAAGTAGCAGATGTTCCTTTCGAGTGGTGCCGATTCGCCTGTAACACCCCTATGGTGCTCATTTCAGTTGGGTTTTATTAAGAGAGCGTTCGACTTCCTTCTGAAGTCGATCGTGGCCCTCTTTCCTTCTGGCGCTCTTTTGGAGTTGTTGATGCTCCACCCACAGGTGGCCGCATCGAAAGCCTTTTTTGAATGGCGGCTCCACTAGTAGTTATGGCCTCATTGAGAGTCACAGTAGACGTAAGTATTGATTGTGGGACCACGTGCTCCACTTTCTGTCTCTCCGTCCTTGTGATCTGGAGTTTACTTGGAACCTTTTGTTCTGGCCGTTGTGGCTGCCCCTCCTTTGTCATACTGTTAGCTTTAAGCAGTAGCTTGACATGGCTGAAGCGATATGCTATTCTACCTCCACTCTGGATCAGTGAGTTCCAGGATGCATCGTCGACAGCAAAGACGATGTGGAGCAGTGAACTTTCTGCGGTCGGCTGTAATACTTTCCAGGTGCTTGCTTTAATCCTGTTCTGGGCCTCAATTGTGAGAAGAACCTTGGTGTTTTCAAAATCGCAACTGTGTGGAAAGTATCCTCGCACCAGGTGTGTTTTTGGGAACTCCGACTCTTCAACCACTTTGGCGCCTAGTTTAGTCTTTGTTGCAATAGCTGCCGCATTTTTACGGACCCATTCAGCCGTTTGGTTATTTGTGCACACCACCATGATTCATCCCGTGCGAGGGAAACAACCTTAAAATTCTGGTTTAAACTCGTCTGACGTCAACTCTATGGCAGTCTCAATTATGGCCTCATGTAGCTGTGCAATCTGTTCCCTGTTTAGGGGGCACTTAGCCAAATCAAAAGGAACAAATCCTAATTTGATCCCCTTGGCCTGACTTGCTACTTGGCTGAAAGAGGGTTTACTCGATCCCTGAATCGAG